CCCAGCACCAACACAGAGTGAAAGTCTCCCAAAGCAGGTGTTAACTGGAGAGGGGTGGGGAGGAGACAATACACAAATCACACACTAGGCCTTTTCAGGATTCTGTATGTAGGTCAGACGTTCACTGGCCTTGCCTGCAAACACTGAGAAGCCTGGAACGGCTCTCCCTGGCACAAGAAGCAATGCAAACCTCCACACATCCCCTCTCACAGCACATAACAGACTATGACAATCAGAGCTTTGCATTCCACAGGGTAGGACAAAATACAGCATATAATTAAATGTTCATTCATAACATTCACAAGTCAAGATCTTACCAATACAAAACTGTTTTTCTTCAAAAGGTTTAAGATAAGTTGGTAGCAATAAATGCAGTCAGGACAGTGTGTTAAGCTCATTAAAGCAACTCTGGCAATTGCTTACGGACGTACTGTCAAAGAATTTTAAATCCAATCCTGGGTAAATAGAGACATTTAGCACCAACGAGCCTGGACCTTGAACTTTAGGTGAAGCTTGGTATAAAATGGCATATTGCTGAGAAGGGTTATGGGTAAGAGATGCTGCAGTTGGTGCCCCCTTTATGACAGCAGCTTCTCAAAAGAAGCCTACAGCTGTAATCCATCTGATGAGGAAGTTAGGCCACAGAAAAGGAGTCCTGAGAAGCTACTAAAAGCAGTGGCAGATGCATCCATTCTGGTAAAGAGGTGACATATTTCCTTTAAACCTAATACTGCATGACAGTCACAAAGTTAATTTAACAGAACAGCTCTTCCTGGTGACTAATCTCTGTGGGCTTGAAAATGTCCAGCAGCTTCTTGCCAAAGGATCAATCTACCTGGCCAGGTGAGAAGTACTCACTCCATCACCACTCCTAAGGTAACATCCATTAAAGCCATGTCTCTTTAGTTTACTTCTTCACTTCCTCAGCACCAAGTCATCTTTATCCTCATCCCGCAGCCCCATCAGTTCTGCTCCCCACCAGATAAAATAAATTCTGTTCGCTCTCTCCAACATACACGCCGGCACTCTCCCCATTAATACATTTTGGGATCTAATCTCTCCACCAAATCAACAAACTCTAGGTTCTCTCATGTCATGCAGCAGCGATAAAGGATATCACAAAGAGTCGCTTTCTTCCAGCACTGAATGTGGAACTATTGGAATCAGAGTGACAGCATTAACCCCTAAAGCTGCTGTCTCCCTGCTTCACTGCAGAGCTCCTGCCCAGAATCTCCCCAAGCCTCACTCTGCACCTTACCCCTCGCCTGGCTTCCTGATACACATTTAAAGAAGCAGTGCACCTCCTCACACTCCACTGCCACCATTACTGAATACTGGGCTCCATTATCCCCCAAACAAATGAACATGGGCCCTCTCACCTCTTTGCAGCCTGCTCTTAGGTTACCACTCTCCTGGATACAGAGGAGACCCTCAGTGTTCCAGCACCTCTTCTCCACATGGACTTCTTTACGCACTGCTCCCCATCCTGTACAAGAAAAGCAATGCCTATGCTGCTCTCCCTCTCCTCCCTTTCCTTAAAACACTGGTGCAGCTTTTCCCCCTTCCCAAACAAGAGGAAGTGGCTCAGAGACCATGAAATTCAGGCCTTCCCCCACCCCACCAAGTAAGGAGCCAGCAGCTCCCTAGCCCCATCTACTCAGGTAAAATTTCTACTCATCCTGGACAAGTGGGTTTTTCAAGCCCTTCCCGTGGAGCAACTGTTCTAGCGTCACAGCCTCTATAACGCATGTGTAGACATTCCTGTGCGGGGGGGCTGGGGGGGGCCTCCACAAGTGCATCGAGTCTTAATTGAAGAGCCTGATTGCTCCCACACAGCACTTTCAAAACTGCCTTCAGTGAATGAGCACGTGACAAGTTACAGTACCTCACTCAGTGTTTCGACCCAGAGCTGACACAGGCTACCAGGAGACTGTCTGCAGCTCAGGACAGCTAGGAGACTGCAGCTGTATTTTCAGTACTTTACGTTTAGTGGGTCACTAAAAAGTTGGCAACTTCCTGCAAGCTGCACCGCCTCAGCCTCACATATGGGTGACGTTATCACTGTGCATGGTTACAAGGACAAACAGAACGGACCCAGATAAGGCAGGTAGGACGCAGCGTGCTATAATGCACTTGGCTTTCCATTTAGGAGAGTGCGAGGTTACTCTCTAGCAGCTGGCCACACAGAGGGTAAAGGAACTTGCTTCTAATGCCAGCTGTGGAATTTCCCACTTAGCTCAAGTGGTAAAGGCCTGTGTTTTGGAAGGCAGCGGCCACGCTCAGGTCTAGCTCAGGCTCTCCCCCTCTCTCCAAGAGGGATTTACATAGCAATTTTATCAGTTGTCTGAAGCATGCTGATCTTTCTTAGGGTTGATGCCTGCATTCTTTTCAATAGCTGTAGCGCTATTAACCCCTTGGTACTGTCTAAATTAGCAACACACCCTCCACTACTGTACACATGAGAATACACTGCATCACTGCATAATTACTTTGCCTCTGAGAAATCAGATGTTTAAATTCAGCACAGGGCTGTGGGAACCCTCTACCTTCCCACTCCCTACACACCCCAAGTGTTTAAATCCCCCTCGGGATTGTGCCTGTCCCACTGCTTTTACCTATCATACTTCTCCACTACTGTTGTCAAAAACCGAGCAGCAGTACACGGACAATGATAGCAGTGTTCTGCTTCCCGAAGAAGTTTCAGCACAGAAACAAGAGGCACAGGTGCAGTCCTTTGTTGCTGCTATTTGGAGACAGGCAGAGCAGTTTTTTATAAATTCCAATGTACCCTTTTCAATTCTAATTAGCGTCGCCAACTTTCTAATCGCACAAAACCAAACACCCTTGCCCCGCCCCCTGTGCTGCCCTGAGGCCACTCCCTCCATCGCTCGCTCCCTCCATCGCTCGCTCTCCCCTACCCTCACTCACTTGTTCATTTTCACTGGGTTGAGGCAGGGGATTGAAGTGTGGGAGGGGGTGAGGGCTCTGACTGGGGGTGTAGGCTCCAGGGTGGGGCCAGAAATGAAGGGTTCAGGGTTCGGGAGGGGACTCCAGGCTGGGGCAGGGGGCTCAGGGCTGGGGAAGAGTGTTGGGGTGCGGGAGGGGGTTCGGACGGCAACTTATCTCAGGCAACTTCTGGAAGCAGCCGGCATGTCCAGCTCCTCAGTGGAGGGGCTAGGGGGCTCAGCATGCTGCCCCCGCAGCTCCCATTGACCATGGTTCCCAGCTAATGGGAGCTGCGGAGTCGGTGCTCGGGGCAGGGGCAGCACGCGGAAGCCCCATAGCTGGCCACCCTATGTCTAGGTACTGGAGGGACATGCCTGCAGCTTCCCAGGAGCTGCGCAGAGCCAGGCAGGGAGCCTGCCAGCCCCGTGCCATCTGGACTTTTAACAGCCCGGTTAGCAGTGCTGACCAGAGCTGCCAGGGTCCCTTTTTGACTGGGTGTTCCGGTCAAAACCCGGACACCTGGCAACCCTAATTCTAATACAGAACTAAACTGACAACAACAAGCTGAGAGCAACACAGTAGGTTCATGAACTAATTTTTCATCTCTAAGCCCTAGATTAGAGCTCTGGGTTACATGACTGTTGTGAAAGAGTTTCCTAGCCCCTAGTATGGTGTGTACTGTTTCTTTATAGCTGACACAGGAAGCCAGGCAGGAAAAAGACTGGGAAAAGCTCTAGGCATTTTAAAAGAGAGTGTTTGGAATTGTTAAATTATATTATTTTTGTAGCCTGCATTTTACAACAGTTTTGAAATGCTCCAGTTTTTCAGTGGTATTTAAAGATTCTCAGTCCCAGTCTGCCTCCTGAGGCTCAGTCACTGCTGGGAAATACAATGACACTGTACGGCATATTATTAAAGAAGCAGTCCCCACAAAGAGACCAGTCACTTTCACGGAGTGGACAGACTTAAATTGTGCTAGGCATTTATAAAAAAAAGTTATTCCTTTATTGAGAACAAAAATTAATAGTGAGCTAAATACATGCTACCTTCTACTTCAGCTGACACAGAGGTGTTTAATTGTAAGCAAGCAGTACCACTGGCATTTGCAGTACCACCGGTCTACAGCACAGCAGCTCTCTTTTTAACAAGCAGTCAGCATTCAAGTGCCAGAAAACTAGACTTTCATGCAAACTGCGTACGGGCCAAGGCTACAGCTCTATGCTGACATGAGCAAACAGACGTTATCTGGACGGCTCACTATGTATCTCACTGCGCATTCCAAGCTATCATCAGATACCTATTTTCTAACTGAAGTTTAGATCTAAAGGTCACATTCCAGTACATTGAAATACTGGACCAAACCTAATCCAGGTAACTGCTGCCAAAACCCCACACATCAGTAAAGGACCCATAATGTGACTAATTAACCATCTTTGATTTGTTTTTTCCCCATTCAATATTTAGCTACAAAAACATTAAAAGAAAATCAGCAAAATAAAGTATTTCTGTGCTAATCATAGTATGATACAAACTCCTGGTAACATATATGCTCCACTAAAGTACTGTGGAAAACCCTAGAGATATATGATAAATTAGTGGGGGGGGGGGTCTTTCAAAAGAATGCTCCCAGAGTTGTATTTGTTTACAACTGTGAAGCAATAAAATCTGCTATGTGATTTATTATTGGTTTCTCTGTATGGGCTGCCTAGTAGGCAGGCAATTTTGTATTGTGTACAATATTAAAAATAAATAGGATATTTTTAGTTATAAGGGAGGCTGGCTTCACTGACAGTCACATTGCCCACAGGACAAAATAAGCCAGTAATCTCTCTTACCAAACTATTCAGGATGCCTGAGCAGAAGAATATTTTCTTTGCTGTGTTTATTCCAGGCTAAAAAGCTAGCTCCCCGAAAAGCTAACAGCCCTTCTCACTACTCCATAGTAACAGCTTGCTACAGAGAAACCCAGTCCAAGAACGGTCCAGGACAGGAGCAGGAAGTGAACTCATAAAGGAAGCAGCAGCAGTGCTCTCTGTCCACTTACTGGAGGAACCAGGGATAAGAAAATCCCAGACTCATTAGCACCTTGCCCCCTTTCCTTCTCACCAAAGCAGTTTGGAATGAAACAGGGGAACGTCTTTGATCCACTCCAAACCCAAACAGAAACAAAGTTTGGAAAATGTTTGGATACTAAGCCACTGAACCAAGGTTGGTAACGCTGGGTAGGGTGATTTAGGAGGATTCTGTATTGCATCTGGCCCTCTGTTCCCATATAGGGGTTCAGTTTTTAGCGCCACTGACTCTTAGCTGGCTTTCTGCCTCTTAATGAGGGTTTTTATTTTGTCTGTTTGTTTTTATGTTAGAGATTCTCTGGCTTTAAAGGCTCTGCGACAGGGAGGAGCAAGTGCATTGATTGGCAGCACTCATCGCTTTCACTTCTGTTGCTATTGTCAAGGAAGCACAAGCATTACTGAGAGCTAGCTGTATTTTCCACGAGCTCCAGTCACTGAGTGTGATAGAGTCAGTGCCAAAAGCAGGTATCACAAGGGATTTGTTACACTTCTGTGAATTTTCCCTGGGAGGGGAGGAAAGGAAGAGAGGCAAAAACGTTACAAGGTAATAACACCAAGCTGGATTTAAAACTTCTGTGGCTAGCTATTTTCCTCTTAATTTAAGATTTTTCCTTAACATATTTCTTTCTTTTAATGCTTGTATAGCTTTGGAAATGTAACAAGCACTGAAAGAAAGTATTGATTTGCACCTATCTACATACTGCACTGGGATTATTCTCACTTTTCCTTCTAATAAAATGGCAAGACAAAAATAAGTTATAATGCCCTTCCTTTATAAACCAAATCAATGGTTTTAATAAAAATTTCTATTGATTCCTTTATTAATCATTTTAGCTCTATTTCTAAAATTCCTATGGCTGCACTACAGTTCAAGGCCATTCAGCATTCTTCTCAAGAGTGCAATACGAAGGAATCATTGGTATTAGTTAACAAGCAGACAAGTAAGAGTGTAAGTTTCAAAGGCAGTATGGACAAAAATCTTTTACCTTCCATTTTAAGAGAGTACAGGTGTTCTAACATCTGTAGCTACAGATGGTCTGTCCCCTATGTGAGCCAAACCTTTTCCGTCCTCTGTCTATCACTATGCATTATAAACAAGGGATTAGCTAACATGATTACAAAATATTTTAACGCTTTTCTATATTTTACCACCCCAAAAGTGATTTTATTTTATACCTCAGGAATGAAGCCATAAGCTGAGAGTTCTTCGGAATTGTTCCTACACAAGAGACGGATGAACCACAGAACGCTCTGTGTACAAAGTGCAAAGTACAAAAGCTATTCACCTCCCATGGTAGTTTACATTTGCCAGTGTTTGTTGTATTTCCTATGCCAAATACAAGAAATACGCAGTAAAATAAAATATGGAGGTGTGGAAAATGTTGATTTATTTTATTTATGTTTATTAAAGATAATGCCAAAGTCATGATTGTGGATAGTTATCTTTAACTACACATTTCTGCCACTACAATGCAGATGTTGCTGATTCAAGCCCAGGCAAAAAGAGATGTATTTATTACAGGATGAAAGTTAATTTTTCCTACAGATTGGACCACCAGGATACAAGAAAGGGAAGAGAAAATGAAAGTTGAAACTGTGTTTGTTTTGCCCAAGCTACTAGGTATAGTTTCTCTGAGAGCTTCTGTGCTATTTGTTGTACCTTGATTACAGATATACAGTTTTTAATTTAAGCTATTTTGCCTTACAAACTTTTACTGTTTTAGATCTCACTCCTGTAAAAACTGAGCACATGTAAATGGTTGCAGGAGCTGGGTTTAATTTAATATACAGACTTCTTTGCCATACAGAAAGTAACACTACAGTGCCTAAGCCAACTTTGGTTAATTTCAGGAAGAATAATGCCACTCTGGTGGTATAAAGATATGTACAAGAAGCTTTTAACATATTGTTACTACCATAACGATCCTTTTTCTTAAGTATTTTTATACTTGTTGGCTGAATGTAGCAAAAAGGAATTCCATTAGCAATATCCTTTAAATTATAAATGCTGCTTGTATTCTTGCTACATTGTTCTTCCAATTTTTGAATACAGTATGTTGGCTGCAGTACCAGATGCCTGCAGTACCTCTTTTTTTATTGTTGAATAGGTATGGAATATATACCCATCAAAATTTTTTACGGTACCACCAATGTAGGTCTGTAAATATGACAACATATTTTCCCCAAAATAACTTTAATAGTAAGAACGACATCATTTGTTTCATTTGAGATAAACAGGAAAGTAGAGAGGAGAAAAAAAATTCAAAAAGTCACTCAACAAGTCCTGCTTTGGAGAAGGAAATACGGAGCATATTTAATACTTGTGAGTACTCAGTCTACTGCCTGAATATATTTTTTATGCTTCGGATAATTAAGTAGACCATACTTCGCAGAAAGATTACAATTTAAGTCTTTACTTTTGCAGCAGACTAATGTTTTACAGCACATGAAAGATGGAGATGGGAAATGTAAAAATACTTTGTATACAAAAGATAAAAGTTCCTCAGACATGAACAGATCTCAGTTAAGTTTCTTACCTGCTGCCATCATACTGAATTTTGACATATAAAAATAGAGAATTATCAGCAAGGAGTAAAAGCTACCAGGATCACAAACCAAACTAAAGTTCTTAAAATACTGAAAGATAACCCCCGTCTAAGTTTAGCTAAAAGTCATCATATGATAGCTATACCAGACCACCTATAAAGGAGATACAGACAAGTTCGGTTTCCACAAGGAAATGAAGTAATGCATTTACCTCCTGAGAGGCCAAGTTTAGGAACAGCAGATGGCATTTAAATAACGAAACTCATTTGGAAATGCTCTTTAATTTACACTATTCCTATTCCCAAAAGATAATAAGATACTTAGATGGTCAAAGTGTACAGATCGAAGCTGCTTGTCAGCCTTACAGGGGAGCACACATTTTTACAAATGAATGTGGCAATTAATTGCTTAAGAGTTCAATTTGCAACAATTGAATTGCGAATTATTGATATGAGAAGCACAATCTATACTTATTTCTAACCCAAGTACTCTACCTGCTGCGTAAAACCTGACAGATCAGCTACTCCTCCCTTTCCTTTCTACTTTTGACTGAACAAACACAAGGCAGGTCAGGAGAGCTGTAGTAAAAATAAAGCTAGTTTTTAAAAAGACATGGCAGTCACATTTTTATCTTTTTGAGCCCAAGTCACAAAACCAAATGATAAAAAAGGTGTTTTTATTTAAATAAAATACTTGTAAAAATATATTTAAAATTAAATTTGAAATTATAAGATGAGACCTAACCTTACTATAATCTATTAAAATCATTTAAATTAAAATATTCCATATATAAATAAAAATAAGCAGTACGTGTTTGCTGCCAAAGTTATAAAAGAGCCAAAGCACAGAACTGTGAGATGTCGTTGGGTAAGCACGCGCAAACAGAGACTGTAGAAATACTAAAACCAGCATTTGACAGCAGTAGCTTCTTCTACGGGGTCAGAGAAAATATTTTCTTTGTTTCACCTTATTCAACTAATTCAGTTCAATGATTAGTTCATTCAAAATTGAGAAACAAAATTGAAAAAGCAGGAAATATTGTTTTTTCTCTTTTCATCTCTGAATAAAAATGAGGTGAGAGGATGAGATCTACTAGTTTAAAAAAATCTCAAAGGACATGGTGACCAGAAACAATCGGTTCTATTCACAAACAATACTTCCTTTGTTTAACAGACCAGTTTCAAATGGAGAATATGTTTTCACAAACATATCTTTTTTTCTTATGTACCCAGCACATTTAAGGTAGATTTATTTGACTAATAAAGATCAAAAAATGAACAAACATTTTAAATTTGGATGAAAATTAGATTTCAAATACAGCTTGACAGAAGTCCCAAATAAAAAATTAGTCCTCTAGTAAATAAGAAATGCATCATGAACAATTTTGTAACAAAAAAGTAAACATTAAGAATTTGAATCAATGCATGGTAAGCTGTATCATTCTTAAATAAATGTGTGTAGATATAGTATAACCTCCTGGTTAGCTAAATGTACCACCAAATGTAGTGTAAAGGCTATATTTAGTTGCAAATCAACATGTTTTAATGTTAATGGTTACCAAAGCAATGAGAATTAAACTTTCTTTAGGAAATAGAAAACAAGATTAAAATTGATTCTTTAAATCAAGGGTTCCTGTTTGATAATTTAAATAATGATTAAAATTGGCAAATTAAATCACATTGATTTAAATCAAACCACCCTGTGGTAGTGAGCATATTTTTTTTTTAAATTCGTGCTTTAGAGTACTATTAAAAAGTAACTCATTAGTCACCACATTGTGAAATCTGAGACACCCGCATATCTCCCTATACTTCAGATCAGATTTCTACCTAAAACAGAACATAGTCCTTTGGAACAAAATCTGAAGGCTTTACAAAAATTTGCCCTGGAAAATTGCAGATCTAGATCCAAGTTCCAGCTGACTTTTCTAATGCCTTGATCTTGCAAGGTGCTTGCTCCCAGCTCACACTAAAGTCACTGGAAAAGGGCACTCAGTTCCTTGCAGTACAGAGCTCCAGGTGCACAGAGAGATAGGTGGCCATCCTGCATAACACAGCTGTACAACCCCTGTGCTTCATCACAAACTCCAAAAGGGAGCTGAGTGTGTTGAGCTATGCAAGCGCATTCTGGGAAAGGGCTTTGAGAACATGGTCTGCATATTTTGTTGCACACTCCAGTAAATCATAGTCCACTACATCCACACTCACCCTCCATTACCTCTGCTACTGGACCAGTATGTCTGTACCTGGGTCCCATGCCTAGGAAGTCTACAAACATGAAAACAACACTGCAAAGCAATGCCAATTTGCACCTGTTCAGAGGTCAAAAGAAGAGTAATTCAAGGTGCAAAAGACTGGAGGGATTCCACTTTGTTTTACTGATCAACAGCAAATAAACAATAATGCAAGGACTAGTACTGGTAGAATTAATTTAACTTTGGGCATACGGATAATTACAGAAAATTAGAACAGAATGTCTATGAATAATTTCTCATCTCCTTTACATTTGTGAACATACTGAGCATATCCTATGAGAGCTGGAGAGGTTATTATATTTATTTTACTGGAATAATAAAATATAGTACAAAATCAATTAAAAAGAAAAAGAAAATCTGAGATAATTTAAGAATTACAGTGTAACCACCCAATACATGTGAATCATTTTATCAGTTAGCATAGCAACAAATTTTGTCTTAAGAATTTCAGAAAAACATGGAAAATTATATTATTTATTCATGCCTGAGCTTGTCTAATACTTCTAAGGGGTGAATTAATTTCAAATCTTGAGTGGCTACAGACTTCAGCTACATTTAAAACAGTAAGCCTTAGAAGTTGGATTGTTATTTGAATGATCTGAAATGAAATGTTAATAAAGATGACAAAATAAAACAAACAACAGATTATACAGGCAGCACAGGAAGTTTTAGGAAGTGCCTTCACAAACGCTGTAAGTTTCATCAAACAGTCATCCAGAGAGAAATACAGTCGAAGAGCCTGGCCCATAAGACAATACCCATCTTATCTACTCAGTGAATGATTACCCCCGCAAACCCCCCCACTCACATTTATCAGTTCCTCTCTCTGGCATCTGGGAGTGCCAGCCTTATCAGTGGGGAGACAGACTTCCAGTGTCAAGAGCACCACTGTTATCCACTTCCATCTTGGATCAGGGGACATCATCACCTCTTCAAAAATTGCATAGGGTTTCCACATATAATGACCTTTAAAATTCTGGGCAATAATACTGAGTTAGTTATAAAGTTTAGTTATATTTATATTATATATTCAAAAATACCTAAACAAGACAGGTGTGTAGAAGTTGGCAATTCAGTGGAAGATTTATGTAAACTTCAGGATAGTGAAAAAACAAGAAACAACTGCAAAACTGCAGTCTAGTTAGCCTGTCTTTATGAGCAAATCAAGTTACTGTAATTATCATTTATACAGAAAACCTTGTTTCTTGATCTTGATCACATTTGCTGTGTAAATCCAAGTAGTGGCCTCATTAATAACCTCATCAGATTCCCCAGATACAGAGCTGTACACATTTTATGAATACTGATTAATGGTAATAAAATTCACCTGCATAGACGTCAAGCCGTAATATTTAAGTACTGCCTACCAGTTAACTGTTTGGTGGCCTATGTGAAGTGAGTAAGTGGTCCTAATTCAGCTTCTAGTACAGGTAGTCATGTCAACACTCAAGTGGCACTTCTTGGCTATC